GTGAGTTCATTTTGCAGGCAATGAATTGTTGAGGACGGTTAAAATTTAAGCGTAAAAAGCAGATAAGTTAAAATTGTTAATATTTTATAGATTTAAGTGTTAATAAAATATATAGATCTATTAAAGTGTAGTATTTAAGACTAATGTGTAACTATTGCAATTCATTCAATGTATACAATTATAGAAAAAAATCATTTTAATACAAATTAATTCGATTGTAAAATATATACACTGTAAAAACTGCGTTTAGAAAATAAACACATCCATTACGTGTTTAGACCTAAACATGTTTAAGATTGTATTTAACGGCTAAACAATTATATCTAAGCATGCATTATGTCTAAACGTGTTTAGATTTAAGACGTGTTTCGATTTAAGTGTTTAGAAATTGAACACTTTCTGGGACAAATAGAGTTATCTTCCCGGAAATGACGCGTAATATTTTTGAACGTTAATAAAGCGGTTATCGAAACAAAGAAAATTCCAGTGTTAGTAAAAGAAGATGGATTAAAGGAAGCGAATCATAACCAAAGTGATAACCAGGAAGGGATTGTGAAATGCAGTTGAAAGGCAACAATACTACAATAAAAGGTCTGTTTACTTTTAGTATTTTACATTAAATTAACTAGAATGAGAAACGTTGCAATTACACAAATGTACAGATAAAGATTTCCTTCTTTTATTTTTGAATTCCTGAAAGCTAGAAAGGAGTTTATATTAAAGAATGTCATTGAAAATATCTATATCCGCATCTGTATCATATATACATAATTGTTAAATGGATTTCAATAAAGGTTGCATAATATTAGTTAGTTTAGCTATCAGTCAGCAAGGGGCATATTTTTGTATAATTTCATTTCTTTATTACAGGATATGGTCCAGATTGAAGCAAAAATACACGTCTCAGAGCAGCTGGTGACATTTCCAAGTCCACGCAATTGTTGTTACATCTTCAGGATTTCTTGCATTTAACAGGTCGGAGAGAATACTCGATATCGGGTATTATCCGTGAAATCGCGTATAATACTCGATATTAGGGTATCGTTGAATCCGCGAAATCGGGTATTCCGTGCAACTTTCTATAAAAACTAAAGAATAAAGCAACGGCACATTATGCCAGTAACTGTTACTTGTACACCTGTATCTTGTGGATTTATTTTTATTAAACCTAAGAAACACGCACGCTAACTCTCGATTCCCGCCTACATTTTGGAACAAATTAATTCAATATGTATAGCAATTTGGCCATAAAATCTTTGTTTAATACAAAGAACAATTCAATGGTAATTCATAAATCGTCTTAATACCAGCGCTAAACAGTAAATTATCCATAATTCCAGCTCTTGAAAAAAGGGGGGTAGACGATATTTTCCATTGAAATCGGAGTTTAAAGCATCACCGTATTTTGAAATAGTCTAGGATATGATTAAATGTTCCTTATATCTTTTCTTATGTTTTAGGAAATAAATAAAACATAAATATTTCAATAAAATATTGTTTCAGTTGTTATAACTCACTTTGAAATTGGTGGAAAATAAGCATTTTTATCGTTTTTTGTCAATAAACATATGTTCCCATTGTGTCAAACAAAAAGCTTTAGTATGAATTTGTGAAATACTATTCCATATTACCTGTAAAAAGGAATTTTTGTGACACGGGGGGGGGGGGGGGGGGGGGGGGGGAGAAAGATGTTTTTAAAATATTTTCCGTTTTCCATTGATTTTTATAGTAAAAAGCACAAGTTTAACCAAAATTTTAAAGTTATCTCTCTTTGTTTTCCCAAATAAGTAATGTTTTATGAAATTCCATATAATTATCTTTAAAAAATATTAAAAATTCATCGAATATGTTAACTTTTGAAAATTGACTTGGAGGTAGGCGGGAGAACGATACTATCGTTCGCAGTTCTTCATACGGTTGTCAAATAAGTTTAAAATCACACGACAAACACTGCTGGGGTAACGACGAGGACACAATGGCGTTATTATTTTTCGATATAATTTCTAAAAACAAATAATTATACTTCGTTTGTCTTTATTTCCCATTAAAGTATTCAATATACTTAATTTTCTAATGTGTGCACTATTCACAAAACGTGAAATTTTAAAGAAATTAAGCGACTAACGTCGTGTTATGTATTTTTACTGAAAAATGTATGGCGTCCCTTTCTCGTGAAATATAAATTATTCCTAACAGTTAGAGAGTACAGTATAAGCGAGTCATAATTGTATATCTCTGCCATAATAGAATACCAACGTTATTATAAAGAAGAAAATAAAATTAGATTTAATAAATACCCACGGGAAAACAGTTTGAAAATAGCTAATTGAAGGTGAGTATCTTTTTTTATGTCAATTTAGCATGAAATGTTTATTCAAAGACACCGTAAATTTTTTGGTTGCATTTTAATCGATACAAGATATGCTATTTTACCTTTATTTTATGCATTTTGTGTGAAAATTGAGAGCGAGAAGTCATATGAAAAGGTTTTTTTTTTTTTTTTTTTTTTGGGGGGGGGGGGTATGAATAAAAGTCAAATGTGTACATCTTTTCATGAGCTTAAAATACATTGAATTTCTCAATATAGATCGAGGTACAGTCATATTGAAATATGAATTACATAGTCAAGTTTTCACATTTCTTATAGTTTTTACGTTTATGAACATGTTAATGAACAAACTGAAATAATGGAGTGTTCAATTGCCTTGGAAACTCTTGTCTTAATTTTTTGGAATATAATTCCTCATCGGACATTAAAATTTCATAAAAATCCTAGCCACTTCCTTTCTTTATTATACTATTTGATAGACAGGGTAAATTTCACCTCTTTACCTTCTATATTTTTTTTATATCGCTATCTTACACCTCATTATTATATGCTAATACAACGCCCTATCTGATTGGTTCTAGACAATATGTCACAGTTTTCTTTTCGTTATTTTATCTATGATACGTATTACTCATGGCAATAACTTTTTCTAATACTCATCTATGATGAAAAAATGTGTTTAAAAGATAAACATAAATTCTAGTTACTTGTAGTCTTATATTGTGTTAGAAAATAACAGGTTGCTTTTTGTTTACCTACAATGTATATGACTTTTATTTGATGAATAAATCTTCCCTACGATTAAAAATATATGACCGATTTTAACCGACTGTGATATTCAAAGAGAGGTCTCTTGGATGGTCGAGGTTGTTTTGTCAGAGGTGGTCAAGAAGCCTTTAGCCCCCCCCCCCCCTTTGAAGTCGCTAAGAAATGGTAAAATATTGATGACTTGACGAAATTAAACGACCAACAGTTATGTTCTTTCATAAGCTGTATTCCTGAAGCTATCACTGTCTCTGCTAAAATGTTGAAGAAATATTCTGCAAATATGTTTGAATGATAAATAAAAAAGAAAAGATTTTCAAAAAAAGAGAAAGAGGATTCTTTTAGCCGAAATTTTAGACATTTTTATCATTACATTATTTATACATTCATAAATAAAAAAAAAGTTGATTTTATGCACAAGAAGATGAATGTGAAAGTAATTAATGCCGCATAATTAGATACGATAGACAATCCCTTGTTTATACATGGCATCATATCTGGTGTGTGAAATACGTTTCCATATAATTTGATTTATTTACAAATTGTTCATGTTTGTGGTGTTGATGTGGAATTGATATAAATTCCCGAATTCTGATACTTTACAATTCTGTTGTGTTGGGATGAACATTAGGAAGATGCATATACTTTCAACGTAAGGGAAAATATAAAGCAAATCGAACGCCTTTTTGTGTGCAGATCATGAAATGAACTGAGCTCCACGGGTATTTGTTGTCCCGAGCGCATTAATCTTGTCGCCCAAATTCTTACTTGGCAAGTGATACCTTTAGAAAACATGTGTATCTAGATGAAAGTTAACTCAGCAACATGCGCCATCCCATTATTTAAGTTTTATTATAGGTGATTACTTCTCCTATACCCGATTTCGCGGATTCAACGATACCCTAATATCGAGTATTATACGCAATTTCACGGATAATACCAGGTACCCGATTTCGAGTATTCTCTCCGACCTGTTTAAGAGGAAACTGAATTTTGTGAAGTATACTGTTCGGTATATTTTTAAACAAGTCTAAATCATTCGTATGATGGGAACGGATTCCTTCCTGACAGTTATGGACCAAAACATATGATCGTGTGTTTCTAGTGAAAGACTTGCAAGAAAATAATAAGCTTGATTAATTTTTGTTACAGACATGAGGAATAAGTGCATGCTTGCTGAGCTGTTTAATATTGACAAGAGCCAAAATAAATTTTTAGTTTTTAATCTATATGTATTTTGAATTTAAAATTCTTCAAAATAAATCTATGTTTGAAAGTTCAATAATGTTATGGTATTTCTAGGAAACTTATTTGATAATGTTTTTCTTCCAAAAATATGTTTTCCTGCGATAGTTTATAATTTAAACCATTCTGTTGGATCTAATGTTGTGGAACTTAACATGTTTAGCAACTTAACACTTAAATATTGATGTGTTTAGAAATGAGACGCGTTTAGGGCTAAACGTGTAAAAAAAAAAGTGAAACAAAAAATGTGTTTAGATATACGTGTTTAGGGGTTAAACATGTTTAGCAACTAAACACATGAAGTCTAACGTGTTTAAAAATGAGACACGTTTAGAGCTAAACGTGTAAAAAAAAAAGTGATACAAAAATGTGTTTAGATTTGTGTTTAGATTCTAAACACTGTTTTTACAGTGTTCAGATTGGAATATTTCAGAGTGACTTTTATACGCTTCCGTATGTTTGTCATAAATTTAATGACACATTCGACTAAATCGGTTTGTCAGATTTTTTTAAAGCGTAATAGAATTAACAATTTGATTCAGTGCGGGTTGTTAGGTTTTCCCTGATTACTTTAATCACACGACTGCAGTTTGATTCATCTAACTCTTACGCCACTTTAGTGCCACTTATCTACTTATAAAAATCTACAGAGCAGCGAGTGACCTACATTTATTTAACTTTTGTTTTTTATCTCAGCTTCTAGAAAACAGAAAACAAACTCGCGTCATGATGCTAAATGTTTACATTTATCTGATTGTTTTCTGTATCATTGGGGATTCAAAGGAATTGGGTAAGTTAAAATGATTTTCCAAAGCAGTTAATTCCAATCTTAAATTTAAGGAGAAATTCTTCAGACAAATTCTTTTACGTTGAAATGGTGTCTAGATTTCGTAATTAATTTTTTTAACTGCTCCGTATTTAAAGATTAGACAAATAACACAAGAAATATTAAACTTGTCTGCTTTCATTTATATATAGGTGTATACAACAATGTTGCATAAATATAGAAATTCACTTGAGATTTTTGACTCGAATAAAAATGACATCGATGTAAGGTGGTTTTTGTTTCTGTGTTTGCAGTCTATATTTTGTTATCCAGTGGAGTAGGACACGATATAAATAATACATTAACAAATAAATCATTCCGATCATAAAAAGGTTGATGAGAATTTACAGTGTTAAATGAATTAACAAATAAGTCTGCCCCTGATGAAAAAAGGTTGATGAGAAATAACAGAGTCAAATGACTCATATACCTCACGTGTGCGCTTTTCAAACGTACTTCAAAGTAGTGGTTTAAAATACAATTGCTGATTGGGAACTTGAGTTTAAAAAGTAGGATAAATGTATTAAAACACTCACAAAATAGTTAACGGCTTCCATTACTTTTTTAGAAAATGTCAATGGTTACTAAAGGTATTGTAATTATGTTTTTTCTACACAAGAACTTGTTTTTCTCGTATACGGTCAGCTCGCCAATTTTATTAATTCATGCGTATTTTTGTATATAAGCGTAGAATGTATAAAGTAAAGACTAATATTTGTTATTTAAAATTTTGTCTTGATTAAATAGTGAAAAAAATATAAAAAGTGAAAAATTTAACACACAAAATTAGTTTTACGAGGTGTTTTTCATTTGCAGTAAAGGTTTGTTTAAATAATATTTAACGTTTTTTAAATTTGGATCTTTATGAGCAAACTGGTTGTATTTTCATAATTTTTCTAAAATTCGACTCCTCAATTACAGATATTGGACCAAATAATGAAACATATGGTGTAGTGTTAAAAAAATCTGATAACACTAACCGGTTAACATTTTCAAAGCGTAGAATATACGAGAATGTTTTTCCCGAAATTTGATCGATAATAAAACGTAATATTTTTTTTTATAAGTTTACAAAATTTAATAAAATTCATTTGATTATTTTAACCCACTAATACTAATAACGAAAAAAGACATTAAACAGTTTATATATCCTGAAAACACGGGTTTCAAGCAAAATCATCTCCAAAACGTATGATTGGATTAGGTGCATTTTTAATCGGTCAGAAGATTTCTGCGAATAAAAAAGTATTATAAGCTTTAAATCAGAAATAAATATGTCGTTGACTCATTGGATAGCCAAGAGAGCCAGTTTGACCTTGGATAGGGATAATAGGACGTTTGTCTGCTCCTGACACTTCTTTAGAAATGTGTTTCATGGTAAACTTTAATAATTTAGTCCTCTTTCATTCAGAAAATCGAGGTTTAAAGAATCATGCCGTGCATTCTTTCATTCATTGGGAAACAAGAAAGTTGTAAAAGGGAACAATTAAACTTTCGACCGTCCTTTTCACAGTGTTATAACCTCGTTTCACTATAATAATGTAATAAACGCCTTTCACTTTAATAATGTAATAAACGCGTTTCACTATAATAATGTAATAAACGCGTTTCGCTATATTAATGTAGTAAACGCGTTTCACTATAATAATTTATTATATAGTTTATTTATATTCCCTATATAATCTATACAAGCGCAAACATTTCATAACACTACATATTCACCGGATTTGAGGCCGTATTCACCGGAGGGTCATTGCGCGTGCAGCGGCATTGTGACGTCACAATCAACACCTAAAATAACGTTGTAAACACTTGTTGCAACGGCCAAACCGAGCTTCGAATCTGAGCAAGAAAAATATTATCCAGACCTAATGAAGGATTATTTTTAAACATTTTGGACGTCTTAAACAGCGAAACTCGGAAGGAAAACACGGAGGTGAAAAACTGTAATCTGCACATTTTTTTTTTCAACGACGGTAGTTAATGAAAATGGTGTCATCATTCAGCCTTCAATGTCTTATTTATTCACATTTGGACTACATAAACATTTATGGACTCTTTTGTTGTTGAATATGGTTTGTTAATCACCAGAAAAATATCCATATTGACTTCGGCTTCGCCTCGGTCAATATGAATATTTTTCTGGTGAATAACAAAATTAAACCATACTCAACACCAAGAGATCTAGAGTCCATAATTGTATAATATTCCCCTCTTTCATTCAGAAAATCTAGCTCTAAAGAAACATGCCGTTCAGTCCTCGACTTATCGGAAAGGCTGGGAAGCCGAGAAAGCCGTGGAAGGGAAAAGATTGACCAACGTGTATAAAAATTCATGTGCTGTAACTCAGACCGGGAAGACTAATGCCTCCTGGTACGTAGATCTGGAGAAGATTGTAGGAATCCACCAAGTCAGGATATACTACAGAGAGGAAAGATACTATGGTAAGACATAAAACATAACCATCAAGTCAAGATCTACTACAGAGAGGAAGAATACTGGGGTAAGACATAAAACATAACCATCAAGTCAGGATTTACTATAGAGAGGAAGGATACTGGGGTAAGACTTAAAACATAACCACCAAGTCAGGATCTACTACAGAGAGGGGCAATACTGGGGTAAGACATTATTATTTAGTTACATAGTCATTTAGTGACAGGGTATGGGATGATACCTGGTTAGTAAATTTCATACCTGGCGAGGCGGAGCCGAGTCAGGTATGAAATTTACTAACCAGGTATCATCCCATGCCCTGTCACTAAATGACTATGTAACGAATTTACCCCACCGATGAAACATTTACGTTTTATCTGTAGTTTATAAATGGTTTTCTCTGCTAAATGCTTCATCGCGCTTATACTGTGCCTATTATGACGTCACGTTTGTGTTTGTGACGTAATACATCGACCGGGTATAGATTTACTGACCGGGTATGGATTTACAACTGACCGGGTACAAGTAATCCACCACCTTCACGTGACAGACTTCAACCAATCGTAAACCAGGATTTCACGGAAAAATCAACAGAGGTGGGGTAGTAAACATAACCACCAAGTCAAGATCTACTACAGAGAGGAAGGATACTGGGGTAAGACAAAAAACATAACCACCAAGTCAGGATTTACTACAGAGAGGAACAACACTGGGGTAAGACATAAAACATAACCATCAAGTCAGGATTTACTATAGAGAGGAAGGATACTGGGGTACGTGTTAGAACAATACAAACAAGTCATAATATACAGCAGACAGGAGCAATACTGGGGTAAGACTTAGAAAATTACCGCAAAGACAAAACTGTGGTAAATGTTAGAACATTATCACCAAGTCATTATGCTACATACAAAACAATTATCGGGTGAGATTTGGAATATAACTAGCAAGTCATTTTATATAACAGAGAACAACACTGGGGTAATTGTTAGAACATAACCACCAAATCATAATATACTACAGAGAGGAGCAATCCTTGAATAAGACTCAGAACATTTTACGATCGTTTCAAAATCTTCAAGAAAGACAAGAAAAGAGCTTCTAATAAGACATTTTCCTTCTCCTTGAGAGGAAACTTGATCTTATGAAAAATTAGCGACAAATATAAAATAAAGCACAGGAGCTCGCGTACCTATTCATTTTGCCGAAATTTTCGGTAAATAAAAAAGATACGTTATACCTATAATAATAACACAAGGAGTGCAACCGTTGTCCGCGACGCGATGACGTGACTTCACGGACGGTCCATTTACCCAAAAGGAACAAAAAAAAAACGATCATACACAATAAACTAGAGATAACGATATAACGTTTAAAACAAGTACAAGTACTTGTACCTCCCCGTTTTAAATTTTCTTGAATGTCTACTAACTTGTCTCTGGTTTCTTTTCGCATATGACCTCAATCATCTAGATTAGCATTTCAGGCAGTTTAGTTCTTTTGGGTAAATGGGCGCGCCTGTGACGTCACGTCATGGCGTCGCGAACAACGGATATTTTAGCAAAGTAAAGGAGAAATGTCACCGCTGCTGCTTTAAAACATGCGTTTGAAATCATATGCATTTAGAGCCATAAAGAATGGTCCCTTCCAAAAATGATAGGTTTGTGTTTTATAATTTTCTATGGAAGATTAATTGTGCGAGAGCCTTAATATTAAGCGAGGGGTTCCCAGGTGATCTAAAATGCGTTGCACTCCTTGTGTTATCATTATACGAATTATATATTTTTTTCATTTAATGAAAATTTCTGTATAATTGATAGGTACGCGAACTCATGTGAATAAAGATATCATGGCATGACAAATCAGAATAAAAATCATTGTCTCGTGAAACTTTTTTCTTTATTTCTTATATATGGTATGTTACAACTTATTTCGATGCATACAAAACACATACCGGGTATCCTTTCAAATAAAATTTGATATTAGTGTAATTTTGTTAATTTTTTGTAAGAAGAAAAATGTTTCGAAAAAATAAATAGAAATAGAAAAAGAAAATTTGATATTTCTCCCCAATTATCTTAACTTTCTTTGCAGGTGCCCATTACAGAGGACGATTCGCGGGATTTTACCTCTACATATCTAACGTCACAGACCGACATAAAGGCAAGCTATGTTATCACGCGCTTACGGAAAGACCGGGATACCCAACCCCTGTCATGGCTCTTACGTGTGACACGTGGGGCAGATACGTCATCATTTACAATGAAAGAAATCCGGAAGTCACATACCCACCATTTTATTCAAATATCGCCATCTTAGAATTGTGCGAGGTTGAAGTTTACGGTATATATATGTATTTATTTTTTACGGTCTTTTTAAACTTATTTTTTTATATTTTCCTTTTAAACATACAAAAGTTAATATTTAAAAAAAAAACAAACGTAAACATTTGAAAATGGAAAAAAATACATGTGTAAGTACACTGTACATGTACATGTAATATGATCATTGTATGCTATTAACATACTTGTATATTTTAATTCATATTCAGATAAGTTCAATTAATTTGTCAGTAAATTAAAAACGAATGACAATATAGTATGTTGATTAAAAAGCAGTAGAATTAACTTTAAGAAATGAAATGTTTTCATTCCATAACTTGTGTTTAAAAATCAAACTATATTTTGACTCCAGGATGTCCTAACACTCTACAGAGTGAAGGGGAATGTGTGGATTGTCCCACCACGTGTAAAGATGGACTCTGCAATGTAACAACAGGCACCTGTTTCTTATGTCCCCATGGCTTTACTGGTGATTACTGCAATGAAAGTAAGCTTTATTAGTTAAACACGTCAGGCATGTCTGAAATAAAGTTAATACTTTTAATCCACTTTTTTATTACTGGTTAAAAAATATTTCAATCATACCATTTCAAACAGCTTGCGGACCTGGTAGTCATGGACACCTATGTTCTGGTGAATGTGGATTTTGCAGAGACGGAGAATCCTGCAATCATGTGACAGGAATTTGTCTAAATGGATGCGCAGATGGAATGCGCGGAGATAAATGCACTGATTGTGAGTTATTATTGTTTGAATTGGTAACGTTTTTCACTTTGTAGCCATTCAAAATAATTTAGATAGGGAATTCATAAATATAATTTCGATATACACCTTTGTCTAAAGCTTTATGAAATTCCCTTTTGTTTAAATTAGATTCAATGTTTGAATACTTTTACAATTCATTGAATTTACATACTTTTAAAATATAAGTAGCAATCATGGTAATATAAGTAGATTAATATCAGCACTATATATTAAGCATTTTGTTCACAGATAATTTTGGAATTTGGCATGGAATACCGGTAAAATTTTAAAGCTTTAAAAGATAAATGATGTTGACAAGATAATTATTCTAAAAAAAGAGTTGAGTAATATTTTGTGAAAAAGATAATAATAACATTATATAAGCATTATGTGCACAGAAAATTCTGGTATTTTGCATGGAATACCGGTATAATATGAGTTTTAAAAGCTAAAATTATGTAGATTATATAATTATTGATAAAAAAGAGATGCAAAATTGTTTATGATAATTATTTTTATGTATGCGTAAAAATATTTCAAACTAAGCTGTTAAATTAATATTGATCTCATATCCTTTCATTTGTAGTCTGTGAACCCGGGACGTACGGACAAAATTGTACAAAGGAGTGTGGGATTTTCTGTGAAAGATCACGTGTTTGTCATCACGTGACAGGAAAATGTCAAAAGGGCTGTAAGAAAGGATTCAGTGGAGATACTTGCGAAGAAAGTAAGATATATTCTTAGTATTCCCGGATTTAGTTAAATAAAGGTCCTTGGCATAGACTAGGTCAAATCTTATCTATTTCATTAGATATATTGTAATTAAAAGTGGTTTGATTTCAAGTATTTTGATATTGCAAATGAACGTCAAAAAATTTATAAAATACATTGATCTGAACATCAATATTGGTTAAACCGATTAATAGTTATTGATTTTCATGTATATTTCTTTTCACTTCAACCCTTAAATGTAAAAAAAAAGAAAAAACAAACTTAATACTTACGCTTCTGGGGAAATCGTTATTTTTTCATTATATAGATTTCTTTTTATTTTGCAGCTGTAGGATTGACAATCAGTGTTGATTTGATATATGGTTTAGTGGGAATGACCATAGCTGTCATCGTGATGAATATTGTCTACTTCACAGTATTTTTAGTTAGAAGGTGAGACTTTTTTGTGCTTTAACTTAAGGATACACAAAAGGTTTCCAAACAGCAAAATTTAATATGCTTGTTATTTATTCTTCAGTAAAGATAATTAAAATATTAAAAGTATCAGTATATCATGTGAAAGCTTGTTAAATTTACTATTCAATAATCCGTTTTTAATCTTTCATGTTTATTTTTTGAAAATATTATTAATATTTTACTGTAAATATTAGTGCATTTATATTTTATAAATCAACTTTTTTGTATTCCACATCTCAAAGTCATAATTTTTTGCCTCATGGTAGATTAAAGATTGAACTTAAAAAACCGTATCTCAGATTTTTGATAAATTTCTAAATCAAAAGTGACATTTATTTGACCTTCAAAGTTACCAATTTATTAGCACAATTCTACATTTCCACCACTTATTCGAAAACTAAGCAAGATATCAAACATCTGATGTACGGTGTTGTGAACACACATTTGAGAAACAATCTAGCCAGTTTTCAGAGAAATTGGTCAATAAATAAGGCAGCCGAATCCTTTGAAATAATACCACAAACTGTGTGTTCTTACTTTACAGCAGAGGGCAAAAACCCATTTCACAACAAAATCTGCCAAAGCTACAAATATATGACACCTTAGATCTTTGGATACCTGTCACTTATCCATATTTCCAATGCATATTCAAAGGATTGGGAGGTTTCCTTCTGTATTTAGGTGCTTTGAGTTAAGTAAAATGGGTTCAATTCTGAATAAGAAAGATGTCCCGGCAAAATTGCAAGAGCTAAGCCACACCTCCTACATAATGGTCTATAGTGACCCGTTAGATCTTCTTCCCTAAACATGCTAAAACTGAAGTCCATGTAGTTAAATAACTGATAACCTCTGTGTGGCTAGTGAAGAATTCCCCCAGTGGTCACAGTGATTTATTGCACCAGTCATGTGTAGGCAGTCACAGATCAAATCAGAAGCTTTAATAACGGAACATTCACATGTGGAAGTGTTTATGTTTGATAATTGTGAAATAATTTTCTTTAAAATTTAACAAGAATTTTTCATGCATAATAAAGCAGTGATAATTGTCCTCTTCTTAGCCAAAAATCTCAAAATTGACAAAAATCTTAAATAAAGCTTTTGGTGTATCCTTAAGAGACAATTCAGTAATATCTGGTCGTACAATTGTTGATAATTCATATAATTTTGAAACTTTTAGAGTTTTAAAACGTAAAACAAGGCATATTTACAATGCAAAAGTCCTTCTAATCGACAATGTAAAAAACGATTCCTATTAAATGTGACAAAATATTTGTTATCAGACGTACAATTTTCTTGTTAGTAAAGCAACTCATCTTTGCAAGAACTTCCTGTAATTTAAGATCAGTAAAGAGCCAAAGCTGCCTTACAGACGACACAGCCGACTCAAGAATTTAAAAGGAAATCACCTGTTACTATATATAGATAAACTGTACTTTTTTTCAATTTAAGATCAAACTTTGTTATATGATTTGAGGATGAGTGTTATATTTTCATAGTTGCAATTAGGTCAAATGACAATCATTTTACTTGTTCAATACTCTAATTCTGAGACAAACGATTTAGAAAATCAATTAAAATGAAACAAGTAGCTATGAATATGCACACTTTCATAACATAATTTAGGACCACCTTTTCTTGAGGTACTTTCAAAGTGTAATGTGTATAATAATATCGTACAACTTTCTGAAATTATGTATACTATAAAAACATAATAAAAAAACGTAGAAAAGATTCACACAGAAAAAAAATAAAATACAGTAAAACTCGTTTAGTACGAACACGGATATTGCGAATTTACGGATATAGCGAAGTCATCTTGAATCCCCAGCTACATAAATTTAATGAATTTCTTATACGGTTATAACGAATTACGGATATAGCGAAGTAATTTCAAAGGTCCCTGTGACTTCGTTATAACCGAGTTTTGCTGTAGCTAAATAGAAAAATCTGAGACCGAACTCGCAATCTCCATATTTGATTTCCTGTAATCATACCACTGAGCAAACGAAGTCAAATGGATAATTTTAAGACAGATTGCTAAATTCTAAAATTATATATGAGACGAAAAATTGAATATATATTTTCATCATTTTTAATATAAATATCACCTTTAACAAAAATTATCTAAATGGAATGAAGTGCAGTCACACCCAAATAAATTTATTCAAATGTTGTTTTTCTGGTTAAGGGTGGTCTTTGGCTACAGTTTGTCATCGTTAGATGGAAACATTAATATTTACTATATGTTTCAAACAGACTGGATAATTTTTAGTTCACCTGATCCGAAGGCTCAAGTGAGCATTTATGATCAGAATTTGTCTGTTGTCTGTCGTTGTTGTTGTGGTCGTCGTCGTCGTTGTTTTCGTTGTAAACTTTTCACATTTTCATCTTCTTCGCAAGAACCACTCGGTCAATTTCAACCAAACTTGCTACAAAGTATCCTTGGGTAAAAGAAATCCAGGTTTGTTCAAATGAAGTGCCCTTCTCCAAGGGGAGATAATTATGAATTATACAAGAATTAATGGCATTTTTAAAAATCTTCTTCCCAAGAACACCTAGCCAGGAAAGATGAAACTCATGTGGAATCATCCTCAGGTAGTGTAGATTCAAATTTGTTCAAATCATGACCCCCGGGGGTAGGGTGGGGTCAAAATTGTTGATCAAAGTTCTACATAGGAATTTATAGGAAAAATCTTTAAAAATCTTCTTCTTAAGAGTCATTGAGACGGGAAAGATGAAAATCATGTAGAATCATCCTCAGGAAGTGTAGATTCAAGTTTGTTCAAATCATGAACCCCTTGGGAAGGGTGGGGCCAAAATGGCTGATCAAAATTTTACATAGGAATATACACGAAAAATCTTTTAAAATCTTCTTCTCAAGAACCATTGAGACGGGAAAGATGAAACTTATGTGAAATTATCCTCACGTAGTGTAGATTCAAGTTTTTTCAAGTCATGACCCCTTCGGGGTAGGGTTGGCCCTAATGGTTGATAAAAGTTTTACATAGAAATATATATGAAAAATCTTTAAAATTTTCTTCTCAAGACTCACTAGGACAGGAAAGATGAAACTCCTATGGAATCATCCCCAGGTAGTGTAGATTCAAGTTTGTTCAAATCATGACCCCTGGGGTAGGTTAGAACCAATTGGCTGATAAAATTTTTACTTAGGAGAATAGAGGGAAACCTTTTAAAATCTTCTTTTCAAGTAAAATTTATCGGGAATTATCCTCAGGTAGTGTAAATTCCACTCTGTTCAAATCATGACCCCCTTGAGCGTTAAAATTCAAGCCCCCCCCCCCCCCCCCCCCAACCTCAGTAAATTTTCAGTTCTGATCTGATATGTGCTTTTTCCTAGCCAATTGCTTAGGTGAGCGATGTGGCCCCTGGGCCTCTTGTCATATTTATCATATAAGGGATTTATTACCATTGTTGTACATGTATCTTTATTCTGTGATTAGTTTTATGCATGTATAAACTAAGATTGCATGACAAAATTTAGGTTAAACAATGTAATTAAAAAAAATCACTAGTAGTGTAGGCGAAAAATGCCTATCAAATGCGCCATTGCTTTTTATTAATTTTTGCAGATTTAGAAGGAAAACTGGCAAGATCGTAACTATAAATTTCAAACATCCAAAATATACATTTAACAACAAGGCGTTCAAATCCGGACGTGAAGGGTACTACAACGATGGACTACAGGATTGTCTCGTGGAAAATATATACGACGGATACGAGAACAGCCCATAAAGTGTTCGACGGATTATTCAGGATAAAAAACAAATTACGAGTAGAAGTATATCTGCGAGGAGATACATGTATTTAAGCTAGCTACAATAAGGCTAGAGACGTTTATAAAAATGTCAGGAAAAAAGGCAGCGAGAATCCATATACTGAGTTTTTTTTATATACTTTTAAACACATGACGTGTAAATACAATGATTGTTATTAAATTTGGTGTGTAAACCACAAATATGAATTATGACTACGTGACAAGTCTGTCTATTTTACACTCCAAAAGCTAAGACAAACTATAAAAAAGAAACAATTACATGTACATGTAATTATGTTAGTTATCACATATTTCATTTGATCCTGAGGTGCTATTTCATTTCATTTATCAAGTAAATATACGCATTGTTCTTCTTATAATATAATATGTCTTCAATGGGTTGCTAACATCAATTCTAAATTGCTTTTTGATTTTAGAAAAGAAAGATTCCAATATCTAAAAGAAAATTATTCATGAAAAGACGAAAAAAGACAGTAATATCCTTTTATAATTTCATTTCACTTGTATCAAGCAATTTCATTGGCTGAATCATTCAGAGGAACATATAACATTTTGTATAACATAACTTGCCTACGTCACAATGAGTGACGACAAAAACGTATTACTCCGCTTGACGTTACTTTTAAAATATTGCTCAATTTGAAGCCTTTTTCAGGAGGAAATATTGTCTCATTGTCTACACTGAAATTAAATTATAAGGAATGATTTCAACTTATGTTATCCGATATAACAAAACTTGGGGCAGTTTACGCTTTCTTATAAACCGCTCCGCTTCATTCCTTAAATAACATAAACGAATGGCAGATTGAATCCAGTTTAAACGTCATGTAACAGTAGATGCTTTTTTTGCATTTTGTACTTCTTCTTATCCATTTGATTAAAAAAAATGATATATAAAGCAGTCACATATAGACCATAATTTACATTCATGCATGTAGCAACAAAGCTCTATGTGATTGATTGGTCAAAAAGCTTAATATTCGATTGTTTTTTAGTTTTTTATTTTTTTAATTGACTTTGAATATCTTATTACAAAACTGGTGTTTTTTATTTGAAGATGGGAAATAATTTTTTTACGGATTTTTTTTTACGATAAAAACTTCAGACACCTGTGGTAAGAACTAAATATAGGTCAAGACAAAAATCGGCTAAAAAGCTGAAGAGCGAACTTCGTTAACTGTAAAATCGTTACATCAAAACTAACCAATGCATTCATTCCTTTAACAGTCAAATCCAAGATCGAAGCAGGTAATAAACAAAGTACTCATCGCAATGAACATTAGATAATAAATTTAATAAATACATAAAATACTCCATAAAGGTCACACATAACGGAACTGGATCTACATAACATGAAGTTTAACCTATTTATCCTTACTCTTCCGGGTTTATTCGTCAGCAGCTCCCTTTGAACTTTGGTCTGTTTACGGCTTCTTCGAGATTTATATTTTTAAAAAATCTCCAGTATTTATCAGCCAAACAGAGAAGCCAGCAAAGGACTCTTTACATTACTAACCACTTGTGTTTATATCCCACACATCAGAGGTTGAAACAGATTAGTGAAAACCTTTCGCATTGTGGCCGAATGTGGGGAAATTTACAACTGCAAATACTATCATTGAGAGATAGTACTTTTATCATTTAAATGTTTTCAATGTATTGAAAATGAAAAATATAATATTAAAGATATAATATGTGTCTGTGACATTTCATAACTATGTAGGCATGCATCTGTAAGAGTAAATAATAGCAGACATTTTAAAATAAGCTGAAAATTTTGTTCTATACTCTGCACTTAAGGCCATTGAGCAGAGAGTAATCTTCTTCTTGCCAGCACCTACTGTGACAGGGACCTCGGTTTACACGGTCTCATCTGAAGGACCGGTCTCTACGTCTCACAATTCGATTCAAATGTAAGGATCAACTCTTTACTTCGTAACTCTAGATCAGAAGCTCTAACCACTGCGCAAAGCGGGCGACGGATAACAGATTGATTACCCCCCCCCCCCCCCCCCGTTCTCACAGATCTGCGATTCTACGGCGATCATCCCGATCAAGCCACGATCTGATTTTTTTTTTGAATCGGGGCAAATCGCCATCAATCGGCGTCTAAATAGAGCAATTTAGCAAATTATGGTCCTCGTAACGACCGTACTACGATGTCCCTACGTCAAAAAGTGTTGCTAACACGCTTCTACTACGATGTTCTCAGACATTTGCCGACAAGCCGTGTTTACTACGTTAACGCTACGCTGTCAATACGACGTTGAAAACCATACTACGACGCTACAAAGACCTAGATGACTGTAACGCGCTGTCACTACGGTAGTTCTGATCATATTACGATTGAATTACGCTTTAAGTACGATTTTGGCGATGATGCAACTTGCAACTGCAGAATTTTGTTGAAAGATTTTTAGCAATAATACATATCGTGCGACCGCAGTTTTTTGCTGCCTATACCAAATGGTTTATGGGTATTTTCAACCGGAAACTGTAACAAGATGTGAAAAGTCTCAACTGCAAATGATCATCAAGTAAAGTGTCACCCATAACATGTAGTTTACAGATGATGATTGGTCAAATATCAACACTATAAGAACAAACTCATGTCTGGTAGGTCGTGATTTTATCGTCGTAAGGTCATCGAAGGTCTTTGTTGGATCTTCAGGAACGTAGAGAGATCGTAGTGAGAACATAGTACAAACGTAGAGGGAGCGTTTTATGAGCGTACTTGGTAAGTTCCTACGCTCTTACGGCGCTTTTACTACGATCATGAAGATCTCTCTACAATGCTTCCGAAAACCAAAAATATATTTAGAATTTTTATTAAAATTGCAAAATTTTGATTTCTTTTGTGACGCAGTACTGTTAAGGCTACCCGGAGCTTAAAATGCATTTAAAACGTAACACTGCATTGCCAAGTTGATTTTTAGTTTTATTTTTAAGTTATGTACTTCAGTGCGCCAAATTCATAGAAAGGATCCCCTAGGCTATATATAAACATATTTGTTACGATGTCACATGACCTTGTTGATCACGTGACGGTCATTTCTTCTTTTTTGAAATGTTTCACATAAATCGCTTCGGCGCAGGTTGTTAACACAATTTTTATTAATTTTTGTCACATAAATAAACTCGTTGCATCCTTGTGAAACCGAAATGTGCTTGGGAAAAGTTATACTATTTCTTTGGAACAATTTATTTCAGATTCACTTCAACTTACCGACAAATCTGAGGGTATTTTCCGCCGAATATCGTCAACTGTTTTAAAACAAAGCCATCATTCATTTTTCCCAAGCAGGATTCAGTTAGAGGGGAACTCTTCTTACATAATTCCACAAAAGATATTAAATAAATCCTCATTTACAACCTGCGCCAGGCTCTTTTACACACATGTTTTGAATTCTGCCTCTGTCCACGGGTATAAAAAAGGGTAAATGTCAAACGTATATTTTCGTACGAAGTTTGAACACGCTGACTCTTAAACAAGATTAACAAAGCTAGGTTATCTATATTATTCGGATATATTACACTTAGAAAAAATGATAAAATCACGTTCATTTTAAACTAGAATTCCGCAACTTTTTATGCAGATTAAAATAAGGTGTTAAGTTTATGACATTCTCCCCATCATTACAGCTCAAGTATGCAGTGACTTGACGTCATTTTCAATTATGACGTCATACATTTGTAGTTCAGAGAAGTTCATGCAGAGAGTACACTACAATATTCTCTGGGAAGCCTTATCGTACCTGCGGAGGGCTAAAAAGCAACATCCAGTAATCAAATGAAAATCTTTCAACTGTTAAATAACTGATTTAGCAAAGTAAAAGATGTCTTAACTTTTTGTACATAGTTATATCCCGTATATAATTTTCACTCTAAAATAAGGGTGTTGCGTTTCTATTGATTGTGAGTATATATGTTTTACATGTAAAAGAATTTAATCTAAAAAGCTTTACAGAAGTACAATAAAGGAATTATAAAAATTGAAAACACAAAATAACTAAAATGTCGAAAAAAATCAAATGTACATTAAATGAACATTAAAAAATTAAAAAAAAATGTGTTTGTGAAACACTGATGGCCCCTTATTGCCACCTATTGCAAGGGTTGAAGTTCCTCAAATGCAAGCCAAACTCCGAGATCTAAACTCTTGGTACCCCAGAGAAGTTTTCTTCACGAGAAATACGCCCGTGAAATATGAAAGCCCCAGCACATACTAACAGTCCAAAGTCATAGTCAACATTTAAGTTTTAAAATGGATCAAACTCTAAGGTCAAAGTCAAATAATTTCAAACCAAATGAAAGAATTTGTTGCAATGAATACGCTTGTGCAGTATGAAAGCCCTTGCGCTAACTGTACAAAAATTGTGGTTATTGTTAACGTTCGGAAATATTTTGTAAAATTGGGTCATACTCCAACGAGGTCAAATTTGGCGATACCTAATGAAAGGTCTTGTCACAAGTTATTCACCTGTGAGAGTCGAAAGCAATGGCATCCATCCACCAAAAAATTATGGACAAGGTTAAATAGCTTTGCGGACAGAGAGACAGACAGGGCAAAAACTATTTACCCTCGAATCTTCTATTACGAAGGGATACAATTTATTGAAGGAAAAGTCAGTAAAAAGAATCAAAAACTTAGTATGTACAAAAATCCACCAAAGTGAAACCAAGTTGAAGATCGTTGAAAATTAGTCTTATATATTATTCCTTGAGTCTTTCAAATATCAAGAAACACATAAAGTCAATGTTTCATTACGGCTTGAAGGATAGTTTAAAATCACGAAGGTGCTCCACTGTCCACCTGAGATTGTCCTCATAAATTCGGATTCAAAGCTCACTACACTTACTCTTTTCCAAGTGAAAGGTATGCCATATATCCCGTCGAGATTTTCACATATTTCGATCCAAGAAATTAATGATGTGTATAAATCAACATCATGAAATTGTCATGTGAAGTGAAGTAAAGAGGAAGATAACGGTTTTCCCAAACCCGATGTTATTTGTTCTGATCTAGATTCCCCTGTCTCTCTTACATTTAATTCTCTTAATCTGATGTCGGCAAAACGAGCGACAAGTCTTGGAAGGAAATTGTTTCACTTAAAGTTTGCAATGTAAACTTGAACTGTCTTATGAACAGACTTTTTAAAAAGAACCTCATACCCCCCCCCCTTAAATGAGAGAACTTATATTTTGTATAAGTATATGAGTATATAATATGGACCTTTTATTCTCGAAATGTTTTGAAGAATAATTACTTCTCCAATCATTGGTCAATTATCTCAGAGAGACTAGCATGCATCTCAATCATTTCTTTCCTGATTTTCTCAATTTCTTTCCCAAGAATTTTTAGAGAATCTTCCTTATCTTTCAAGATCTGTTGCTCTGATTCAAGATGTTTTAACGTCACGCGAAGTGCGTTTATTTCTTTTGGGATATCTTCAAGAAAAACTCGATGGATTATTTTCAAGTACTCCTTACCAAACGTATTTTTAAATTTTTCCTGTAGATCCCCTCTACTTATACAATAGACGCACTGAGAAAATAAATTATCTACTTGCGTTTTATGCCACTTTGCACTCATAACAAAGCCAAATAGAGCTGCTAGAGGGGACAACACGATTAAAAACAAGGCACCAATCAAAGCAGCAACTGGAAAAAAGAAACTTAATAAGCCAAAAGCAACAGATATTTCAGCAATACTATGCAATTGAAAAGAAATCATGTCTCCAAGAATTACTGCCCAGCATTTCTGAATCCGAATGTTCATCTCCATTACACAGGTCACGATCCTATTTTCAGCGTCCATCATAATAGATCTGCAGTAGTCATCTGAAAGCCACCTTGAAACGCCTGCTTCAACTCTACTGGGTATTTCTTGATGTAGCCATAAATAAGAGATATTTTCGATTCTTGTTTTTCCAGATGGATTTAGGATTTCCTCTTTTCCGTAGGAAGAATGAAGGTAATCCCAAAGTTCGCTGGCAAGCCGATCCACTTTACAATTACAGTCTTCAACAAATTCTTGATATTTCTATTAATAAAGTAATGATATTTCAAAAGACGTTTGAAATTGGATTTATGAAATAATCATAGAATTAAAATAATTCATATGGAGATAGCAAACAGTATCAAAGCTCAAAGTATATTAAAAAATACAAAATCGGAGCAAAGCCACATAAATCAATTGTATGCCTATGGAAATGACTTCAATTGTCAATTTCCCTTTATTATTTTGTCAAATATCTAGCTATTACCTGTTTACGGCGTTTACATCAGAATCAGTTCTAGTAAATTTAATTATAACCGAAGTAGACTTCTTACTGATCAGTAAGTTTATTTAATAGGAATTTCAACAACCTAAATATTCTTTGCAGACGACAATCACTCATTCTGAGGTCATCCTTGTTAGAGTTCATTTTATCAAGTGTATAATGGATACCTAGTAACAAGATAACTGAAAATAACGTAACCTCGATTGATGGGAAAAAAAGTCGCCATCTATTTTCATTGAATACTTGCCACATCATGAACATGGAATTATTTTGATTTATTTAAAATAATAATCATTTTACATGGTGGCATATTTATGAGATTCACATCAGTTTTTTCAACATAGCATATCATGACAAGTCAAGATGACTATCTCGTCAAGTGACGAAAACGTTCAGGTTTGTCGTTACACACCGACTTTTATATTGTAGAGTAGATAAGCTATTGTATTTTTGCGATATCTATCTCGACAAAAAGAGATGATTAATCTTGTATCGTGACTATAAAAGTTATCACGTCATGTCAAGATAGGTATTGCAACAGAATTTGAAAGCTTATCTTGACTGAACAAGATATAAAGTGACTTAGCTAAGAACTCTTTAGGTTTGTTTTAAGTATTGGTTTAAGACTTGCACTCATAGGCCAAATTAAAGTCACAACATGGCTGACTAACTTTCAATACAATTGTATCAAAAACATACGTTTTCATTTTCATGTTTTACTTATATAATGATATATGACCGGATATTTTGTCACCTACTACCTGAGCAAAGGGAGGTAAGTGTGTATTTACAAATAATTTGTAGAATACAAGCAATAGATGCCAGGGGAAATGATTCCACAGGTGAACAATAAATTTGATCCTAAAACTCAAAAGTTTTCATATTTGTAATAGAAGAACTATTTGCAAGCTCTAATGATCAAACAAAATTACATTAGTTTCGTACTATATAATATTGTTTTCTTATATAATACTAAATATTTTAATTTGTGGGTCTTTGTTTAAAAAAATTTTATACTTTATTTATGTCTTATTGATAAAAAAAAGCTTCAAATTCATTACAAATTTACCAAAATAACACATTTCAATAGCAAAATAAAATTCTAAAAAATTAAGCTAATATTGCTTTTAAAATGAAGAATCTAAATGTAGGACCCTCCAGGTTTACTGATACTAACCGTTTCACAAGTGCCTTCCAAGTCATCTATCATAGCTCCTACTTTTTTGATTTCCTTACGTTTGTCAGATTCACTCATTGACAGAAATGCCAAACAAGCAAGAGTTCCGGCCTCAGCATTTTGCATGAATTTCTCCAAAAACCTGATGAAAAGTACAATTTACAATTAAGCCACTAGAGGTTTTTTATATGACATATATTACCTGATGATTCTTAAATATTCAGTTAAATAGTATATTCATTTTCAAACGAAACTAGGGAAAAACATGTTTTTGTTTTAACAATGATGGTGCACAGGGTGTATTATATCCAGATTAAAAAATGAAAATATACATGTATTAGCAAAAACATTATACAGATAAGTTGTTAAACCTTACTTTTTACTTAAAAAAACAGCTATAATAAAAATTTATTGATTTACACATCTTGTGAATATTTTATGTATGTCGTCATCTCCCGTAAAGTTCTTTTTCCATTCGATTTCTCACTTTCTTGTCAAAAAAAGCTCAATAATATGTTACATCAGGGTAGAATATAAAGTAAAATATCAACGTTACTCTATTGAGACATTTAATGAGAAAGTTTGAAATGACCAATCAAGCCATGTCATGCAGCTTCTTCGCATATAGACAATATAGCTGTGTTTGATGAAAACACCAGGAAAAAAAGTTGACTGTCTGGTTAATCTTTTGTGTATTTTTGTATATAATATTTATTCTGTACTCTTTATCATGTCTATATACTGTATAGAATCTGACGAGTCTTTGGTTTAAAGAATAAAGAAGGATTAAAGAAGATTAAAGTGTTGTTAACTAAATATCCTATCCTTAGCTGTATCTTTCAATGGAAACAAGTATACATAACATTTGAATGTTAATTGCTTATTATACATTTTAAATGCGTTTATTTCTTACTTGATATGTGAAAGAAAAAAAAATCACGTTACTTAAAATGATTTTTTAGGCGTTTGTGGTTATTTCTTTTAACATTTCTGTGCAGAGACTCTTGAAATCTTTTGAATTCCGAAGAATATTCATTTTCCCTCTTGCTCAAAACCTAAAAATTAATACAAATAAATATAGAAATCTTTTTGATGCTAAAGATTCAACCTCTATAATGTAGCTTCATAGCTTGAAACATAGAACTAATGAAACTTCATAAAGCTTTAAAATTCAAGATAATATCTTTTTCAAGATAATCTATATCAGTTATCAAGATACTTCTGAAAATTCATAAAGCTCTGAAATGCAAGTTTATATCTCTTTCAAGATAATCTATATCAGTTATCAAGACAAACTTTTCAAAATCGTGTTTTTCCTTTTTCTCTCAAACTTAAATAGAGCGCAGAGATAGTTTAGTGCCAAAAGAAGAAACCTGCTTTAGAGTGACCCTAAAAATGTTTTCTTCATTAATTTCTGGCCATCCTTCGGTCAATTTTTCCTTCATTATTCTCCACGTTCTTTGCTTTCCACTCTCTACATTTTCTTCCCCTTCATCTTCATCAGTATCGTCCTCCACAATATCCCATTGATTGGTAACAAACAACACTTCTTTATGATCAAAGCATGGCATTTTCTCACGATTTTCATTGATGGATCGTAGAATTTCTAGTAACTGTAAAATATATTAACTGTAAAATACATTTGATAAAATTAAGTTTTTCTTATCAAAGATGAATAAATTATTTTCGCATATGCTCTTAGTTAATAAAGAAAATATATTTGAATGATATATCATAGTTGTCCTTTGCATGTCTTATAAAACCTTTTAAAATATAATATGCCTATGTACTTATAAGCTTTTTTTTTAATTTTTATCAAGCATAGAAAAGAAATTAGATGCAGTTATTATACATGCAAGACAAAGCCAATAGCTGTGATATATATTTTTTTTTTTATACTTTTTCATTATTTCACAAGTATTGATTTTTATCCTCTTTCTTTTGTGTATCGAACCTTTCTTCTACAAGTCATATTAAATACTATTATTGTTATCAAATTCATTTAAATGTATTGTTATTGTTGTGAATAAAAAAAAAAACAAATAGTATTTATTTTCATATTTAAGTGACCTACTTTATATTTGAGATATTCTTCTGGTTTGATTTGCTTTATGTTTAAGGGGGCCAACTATAGTTTCCATTGCGCAATTTTTCGCGCTTCATAGTAAAATGAAGCGTATTTAATGTTTTAATGCAACTTTTTTTGATTACCGGGGGTAATTATCAAAATTAAACAAAATTAAGAAATTATAGGTATAAAAATGCAGGTACAATTTGATATAACTGATTTTTCATCCGATTTTGCAATTAATAGGTAGGTTGACGTCGTTGCAGTGTGTTTTTGACGTTATGATAATCTGTAGCATTTAAAGATACGGGTAATAAAAATATTATTAAAGAAAAAATAATTAATATGGACTCTTGAAATTTAAAACATAGAAATTTGAGAATATCTCTAATATTTTTATTATGTTTTCATGTGAATCCATTGAATACGTCAATTTTTGTAATACTCTATAAAATTAGTAAAATTTTCTAATTTTTTTTGCATTTTGAGATGCCCCCTCTGGTAACAAGACGGTAGAATTTTGTGTTTCTTACATATATTGTATAATATAGTATTACTCATGAGTTTAGCTATTGAGGGTTTTACACAATTAAACTACAGTCGACCCCCTTGAAAGAAAATTTTAAGTTGGTACACAAAATTTCGAATGACTAAACGAATAGTCCTTTGAGGAATGCAATCTTACTAACCAGACATTTCCATGTAGATTCGAAATCGAGGATTATACGCCAGTGAAGTAAATCAAACGGGATTGAGATTTATGGTGAATCAAAATATCTATTTTATTTTTACTTTATCAAATTCAGAATTAGGAGTCAAGACATATAACTATATTATATATGACTCTTTACTATTTTTGTTGCATATACAAAGACACGATAGGCTAAATCTCACGAGATTGTAACTTTACTGGTGTGTATCTTAACAGAGGAAGTGTAAAGTAGCATTTGCATTTGGTCTTTGGTCTTTGATTAGAAAAGATATAAAAAAAAAAGATTTACCCTCCCCTTTTGTACACCACCAGCATTCCTTGCATTTACAACAAATATAAATGAGACTGCATCAGGTAAAATATCCAAAAGAATCTTGTCAAGTTCTTCACTCTCTCCAATTCCTGGGGTATCGACAAGGATCACGTCGCCCTAAACATATCAAACACAAATGATGTTGGAGACATAAAGTAAAAAATTTAATTGCAAAAGCTTCTTGAAATATCACCCGGAAATGAAATGAAAGTTTTACACAATGAATGTATAAATTAATGAACTTTTAAATGGACTCCCTTTCAGGCCAATAAACATGAAGTATCTAAACTACATACAGACACTTTACAGGGCGATATTTGTAAGGCGATATTTTTTTTAAAATGTCACAGGACCGTTTTAATATGTTAATTACATATCAAATTAGTAATGTAAAAAAAAAATACGAAAATTTAATGAAATCGAATTTTTTCAGCTCAAGGTCCTGTTCCTTCTTAAACACTTACCTCGAGATCTGAAAATGGCATGAATACGTCAACAAAGTAGATACTCTTTTGATCCTCTTCATTCATTGACCCAACGTCAGTGCCTCTCTTTATGAGCTTTTTCAATTCCTTCAGATCTCTAACGTAAACCTCTATTTTCAGTTCATCTTGTTTTGTGTAGTATTTGCATGCTAACTTATCAGAACTACGAATTCTGTAAATTTTGCTTGTGCATGCTACATTGCTAACTTCAAATATCTTTTCCCCAAGAAGGCTATTTATTAATGATGTCTTCCCAGCACTTGTTTCACCTGCAATACGTAAATGTATTCAAAGAGTAAATATTAAGAATTTCTAATTTTAAAAAAAAAATAACCAGTCGTATTTGAATAAGGGGCGAGCGATTAAATAATCACATAAGTACTTAATTTTTTGCACAAAAAAAAAAACGTTAAGGCAGAAAAAGAAAAAAAATCTGATCGGCTTTTTTGGTTTCCTTGGTAGACTCAAGTTTTCCGAAAACATAAGATGCATATATTACAACATTTAATGATTATAAGCCGATAATTACCTGAGATTGCCAAAATTATCAAAAAATGTCACGATAACTTACTTTCTAGTAGACATTGTCCAAGGACCTAAGATACCTTAAATGATTATTTAAGTCTTAAAATAATCAAAAATTTTCCTTTTTAACAATTTGAAAACAAATGCTTGCAAAATTTCTTAAGTAGGTCACTATAATCATTTTTAATGATAATGTTTAAAGGCCCAAAGACGCATTATCTTTTCAAGATTTGATGATTCTAAACCTCGACCAATACCAGAAAAGCCTATGCGAAAGTAAGATGTCCGTCGTCCGTCCATCTGTCTGTAAACAATTTTTCAAAATGCTACTTCAACAGTTTTGGTCTGATTTCAGTATAAATTGGCACATTAAATTACTGTTAAAGTCCTTTAAAAAGCTACTCCTACTACAGTTCTGGTCTAATTTCAATATAATTTGGAGCACATTTAAACAGCACTACGATATATAATTTAATGCATTTGTTTTTCATTTCGAGGAATGGTGTTGGCATGGTTGCAAAATATTTAAATTTCTGTTAAATTCCTTTAAAACGTCACTCTTTCTTATCCAATTTATGCCTTTAAATAAATTCGAAAACAAATGTCCGCAAAATTCAAAATGTATGTCAATGTGACCTACTGTTGAGCTTACATGATATTGCGTCCTTAGATGAACCAACTTAAAAGATTTGATGATCCTAGACTTTATATAAAGTAAATATCAACGTTTTGGCTCTATTTCTCAGAGACCAGAAAAGCTTATGCGAAAGTAAGATGTCCGTCGTCCGTCCATCTGTCTGTAAACAATTTTTCAAAATGCTACTCCTCCAACAATTTTGGTCTGATTTCAATATAATTTAGCACACAACTAGACTACACTAAGATACATGTTTTAATGCATCGGTTTTTGAATCGAGGAATTGTGTTGCCATGATTACTAAAATAGAAATATCTGTGAAATTCCTTTTAAAAGTTATTTCTTCAAATTTGTCTAATTTCAATATAATTTTGCTCAAAAGTACACTACACTACGATACATTATTTTAGTTATTGCTTTCTATTGCAAAGTTTTTAATTCAAAATTTAAGTGCTACTATTCCTTTCTTTTACGTTCAGACCAGTTGTTCTTCAGTCTCATCAGAGACTCTGGTTATTAAGAGTAATTAATCAACTATGAAGTGATATTGTAACCACGCCCTTCTGCCCAGGGTGATGCCTTGAAGAATTTGTAATCTTCAACTTATCCTTCTTTGTATTTTTGGTGATAATCTACCTGGTGATTGTTAAGAGCAACCAGTACTTTTGGATTTATTTACCTTATTATCTTCCCTTGTATAAGGGTCACAACCTTAGTCTAGTATAAACAGAAAGACTTGGGCCTGTGATACCCTGTGTCAAATTTGGCCAAGGGGATATTTAGTTATGGCCATATTCTAACAGGAGGCCCAGGGGCCACATCGCTCACCTGAGCAAATCATGTAGGAAAAAAACGGATCAGATCAGAACTGAAAAGTTTACTGAAAGGGGGGGGGGGGCTTGAATTTAATACTTCTTTAGAATGTCATCATATTAATACAGCATATGACATTGCTGTTCTTGATAAAAAGATTTTTAAAAAACGTTCTCTTCCTATACTATCACTAATCATTGCTTTGAAGTACTTGAGAAGACGATTTTATAAAGATATTCCTTTGTAACACTTTGATCAGCCATTGTGGCCCTGCCCTACCCCGAGGGTTATGATTTGAACAAAATCAACACTACCTGTGGATGCTTCCACATGAGTTTCATCTTTCCTGGCCCAGTGGTTCTTGAGAATACGATTTTTAAAGTTTTTCTCTATATACTCCTATGTAAAACTTTGATCGGCCATTTTGGCCTCGCCCTACCCCTGGGGGTCATGATTTGAACAAACTTTAATCTAAACTACCTGAGGATACTTCGACATCAGTTTCATTTTTCTTGGTCAAATGGTTCTTGAGAAGAAGATTTTTAAAGATTTTCCCTATATATTCCTATGTAAAACTTTGATCGGCCACTGTGGTCCCACCCTACCCATGGAGGTCATGATTTGAACCAACATTAATCTACATTACCTGAAGATGTCTCCACATGAGATTCATTTTTCCTGGTCCAGTGGTTCTTGAGTTAAAAAGTTTACGCACTTTGCACAAATAGCTATAGCATTAGCTTTTTGAGTATTTGGCTCAGAAGAAATAAGAATTATTTGTATAAATAAACAAGATGTGTTTGTGAAACACTATGCCCCCTATGGTAAAACAATTATGGAGTAGAGACGTAGACTAAGTGTGTAAGTGGTAAACATTATCCATCGACGGCGCAATCGTACTGAGTTAGTTACATGTATATGTAAAATTGACTACAGACAGACAGACGGGACAAAATCTATATACCTCCGGGACTGTTCAATCCAGGGGCATAAGAATAGTTGAGTTTATTTAAATGCATTTAACCCACTGAAGTGCGCTTAAGTCTGGTAATATTCAATTCATTTTACATATAATTAGCCTATTATACATATCTCGTTTGTGAGATTGTTCAGGGGCAATCACGTATTCATATATAGTGTAAGTTAAATAAAGTCAATTCATGGTGTTAGACCTGCCAATAAAGAAACTGTCAATGTAATTGATGGATATTCCTCATTTTGCGTGTGCTTGGTAGGTTTATTGTAGGTGAATTAATAGAAATGCCCCCTCCCTTAATATTTGATTATTAGAAAATGATAATACTTTGTTTCTAGTTTGACTCACACGTAAAATTTGTACGTAGTTGCATATATTAATCTTGCAATTACCTGTTACAACAATGCTTGCATCTTTCTTTATTATATCTTTTTTCCGGTTTTCCAGAATGGTCATGTAGTCTGGAAGTTTCTTCGATAGCTCATCGCTTAACCTTTCATCATACTCTTCCATTTGAAGTAATCCATGAATTTTATCAAGAATAGATGTTAGTTTGCTTACTCCTTCTTCTGGGCTCATAGACATGTTGAAAGGATTTTTTAAATCAGATTCTAAAACAAAAAAAGTCATTCTTCGTTATTGACACTTCATGATGATCACCATACATACATATACCGGTATTCAAAGAGCTTCTCTACTAGTGATTTCTTAAATACATTGTTTCACGATTTTTTTAAATATAAAATCTTAGTTTATATTTGTAAAACTAAATCACAAAAGTGATATTTAACGAGACCAGTTCTAATTATTTTTACCCTAGATAATTTGATAAATTTTCTTGAAAGAAGATAAATACTATTTCGATAATTAATTTTAAAAATAAAAACGCAATTGTTTACCATTCTTATTTTTTGGGGGGCTATTTCAAAAGTTGTTTAATTATACTATCTGACCTTTTTTGGAATTTGTTGGAAATGCGCCAACGTTTCACATTTCACAATTTTTTTTGTATTTCTGCCCTATGTATATTCGTTTCAGTCAACTACTCAAACAATATTGTAGAAGTCACCAAATTGTGAATATAAAAAAAAAAACTAGGTTTGGTCTAGGTTCTTTCCCCAATGCCAAATTCTTCATTTGCCGTATTGTGGTATATACCTTGTATATATCGGCACAGATAAATTAGTTTGGTAAAAAGAATAACCATGCTTAGTTAGAAAGTTACCTCAAATGATGAATATGAAAATCATTTAGAAAACATAGAGTGAATAGTATTGATCGTGGTATCCACCTAACCGCAACAAATTTTTTGTCAAAGATCACTCTTAACTCATAAAACAACTTCTAATAATTATGTTTCAGACTTAAATACTTAATTTATCTAAATGTAAATTTATCTTAATTGCAGCTTTGAGCAATATCCTGTCTTTTAGGTAGAACTGAGTATTTATTAAACTAGAATATCAGCAGTCTCGTTTAGAGTCAACATTTTGGAAGTGCAATGCTCTGTTCCTATTTTGTATTGTGTTATTGACTTTTGATCTTGATAACGTTAGTTATTTTCATATGCTTTTTTAAAGGTGCTTTTTGTGTTGAATGTTCTGAAAATATATTTTCAAATGTTCTTCTCGTAGTATCTTAAGAAATTCTTTTCTAATATCTTAAGATTTAGCAATCTGCCTTTTTACGAGAGAAATGAATTCGTGGTAAGGTTGTTTGAATGTTGGAATGTAAATGCGGTGATGGCAAATTTTAGCCCCACACTTTTTTTTGTTTATACCTTTTTTATTGTTTTTTCGTACATGTATGTGCATCTTTTCTAGGTTTATTTTTTGCTTTGTTTATGTGTTTTTATAATTCGAAAAATTACACATTAATCATTGAAAGTATCTCAGGAAATGATATGCAGTTCTTCAGTATTTTATTATTTTCGAATAAAGGAGGGGACATTAAATCTCATCCGTCTGTAAGTCTGTGGTTCTGCTCGTTCGTACGCAACTAAAGCTTTTATCTTAATCATATCTTTTGATTGAGAGTAGATATGGTTTTCATATTAAACAGGTGTGTTATTTGTGACTAGACCATTCTAAATACACTTTGCTTTTTGAACACTTGACCAACTTGAAAAAAATTAAACATAACTTTGAATTGGCCATAACATTTGAATAAGAAAACTGAGGGCTTTCGTATATGTGTATTACCTGTGACAAGAGCTTTCAAAATAATAGTCTATGGTTTTTCTGATCTTGTGACCTTTGAGCTTTAACGTCTTTTCGAAAACTTTAACATTGCTCATATCTTTTGAATGAGAAGAGATAGGTTTTTCATATAAGACCTGTGTATTGCCTGTGGCAGGCCTTTCATAATACTCTATGGTTTTTGATCTTGTGGCCTTGACCTTGAAGTTTGACTTTCTTTCAAAAAATGTTAATTTTTTCATTATAACTTTTGATTGAGAATAGAGTTTCATATATGAAATGCTTTTCACTGTGACAAAAATATTTTCAAGCATATTTTCAAGCATGTTATGATTTCTGACCCCTACGCACTGACCTTTATGATAACTACGGAATGGCATACGTGTATGATAGGGCATTCATATTTGACACAGTGTGTCATAAAAATGACATCTCACCCACAAAGACACCACAATTTTTTTTATTTGCTTGTGAACTCATAATTAAATTAATCAGGTAGCATACTTGCAGCTATACAAATACAACTCTTGTCCACTAAAGAGCGCTCTACAGTCCGAGCTACCTTGACGGCCTAACGGAAGATAAAATGTACTTTTTTTTAAATTTGCTATAAATAGTAATAAAAATACGCTAAAATTTACTGAACATTGTAAAACACAGTGTTCATTATTTTTCACTTTAACCATTTGGTCAAAATCCTCGGAATACATAGACAGTTAGAATAATTAGACTTATTTATGGGAAAGCAACGCATCACTTTTTATAGATAAAAAAAATCCTTGTCACTAAATGGTTCCTCAATTTTATAGTACTTGTTATTTGTATAAAAATAGTTTTAATATCCTGGTATCTTGTATTACTTTGCAAATCATTATATCCCTAATATTTTTGCAGCATCGTTGATATTTTCTACATTTCCTTTTTTTTTTGGGGGGGGGGGGGTGAGTGGGCGGGATAAACATATGGAGATAACGAGCAGTATTCATCTACGTCCTTAAAACAATACAAAAGAAGAGCCGAGCAACACAGACTTCAAGAACATCAGAGGTGGATCAGGTGCCATGCAGAAGTTGGCATCCCCTGCTGACCGGTCATATTCCGCCGTGTGCTCCTTGTCATGATCGGGAAAATACGGAAAAATCCTTCGTCAATTCAGAGTACAAATAATAGACTAAAAATAGGTATGAAAAACGTTATTCAGCATTTGACTCAATGATAAATTGCATTGGCTGAAAAAGTCATTGTATCGACCAAAGAACTTACAAAATAATGAATTTAAACGAGACTGCAGAAATTCTTCCTTCATTGTCAATAATGTACCTCGTTATAGAAATTACTCAGATGTAGAACATGCTATTTTGAAGCGAATCAACCGTGAAATATAAGCACCGTGTGCTAGTGATGAAGGTATATTGCAGTATAAGTAAGGACAGTTGACGATAGGACGATAGAAAAGTAAAATTCATCACGTTTATCATAGAGTTTGGTTGTTAGATTACCATTAATGTCCTTTTCAAGTAAAATATCAAAGTATGATACAGATGTATCAGACTCCGTAGTATCTTTTAATTCAAGCTCACCAGGATATATCATATCGACATAGGAATGGAAATTACAATTATTAATTGACAATACGTCGTCGATATATCTAAATGACGAGTTGAAGGCCATAGCAGGTGTTTTCTTCTTTTCACGCATAAGAGTTTGCGCAAGTTCTGCTTCACATGAATCTAAAAATAGGTCTCTTTTTGTGTCAATCAGAAACTCGAGTATCTTTTTTATGTAAACTTCAGAATCAACAAAATAATTTTGCGTATGACTAATGACAAAGTAAGTGAATTTACCAGTTCCATTTATATTTAAAAGGAACTGTAAAAATCAAAAAAGCCTGGACTCTCATTTGGACATTACATATACATTGTTACACTCTGGACTGGAAAGAATTCTAACACTATCGACATTGTCATTACATTCATAGGGAAAGGTTGTCCCTACTTTATTAATCCAAAATTCTTTTCCTTGACTATGGAAAAATGTACTCAGTGATGGATTGTCTGTGTGGGGATACATATTTTCAAAAAGCCTTACTTATACTGACAAAATAGAATGATCAGGTTAATTAAAATGTTTGTATAAAAGCTTCAAGTCCCTATGATTTACCTGAAGTCGATGACATGATATTCCTATATTAAGTGACCCCTTGGTTTCACCAACATTAACAAGTCCACATAGATTAAATTCTATTTCATAAACAACATAAAAAGATTTGCAATTCAGATTTTCTTATAGAAGATCTGTCCTGTATAATTATTGGTAAAAGAAGTATTTGGTATGAAAATGCCACACGTTTCACAATTTTTTCACATTTGGACCAGAAGACATGAGATCGGAAAAGGATAAATATGGGGGATGATAAATGAAAATTCTTGAATAAAAGATTAGTAGATGAGTATCTGTAACACCCTGTTGAAAATTTAAAAGTGAATAAACACATAATTTGGGAAAAAATAACATAAAAAGTATAAATTACTTACTCCCTTCAAGTTCCTCAAATACGTTTAAATGTTCATTCTAATAACCAGACTTTTTAATGGGGAAGTTTCGCATCACTTTTCATAGAAAAATAATTTCCTTGTCAATAAATGTTTCCTTAATTTTATAGTACTTGTTATTTGGATAAAAATAGCTTTATTTTCCTGGTATCTTGTATTCCTTTACAAATTATAATTTCCCTATTATTTTTGCAGCATCGGTGATACTTTATTTCAATTTTTTCGGAGGGGGGGGGGGGGGGCAATGAACATATAGAGATAACGAACAGTATTAAATATCAAACGTTCATAAAACAAAAAAAAAACAAAAACAAAAGAGGAGCAGAGCTACACAGTCTTCAAGAACATCAAAGATAAATCAGGTGCCATGCAGGAGTGATCATCCCCTGCTGACCGGTCATATCCGCCGTGTGCTCCTTGTCATGATCGGGAAATAACGGAAAAATCTGGCGTCAATTTAGTGTATAAATAATATACTAACAATTAGTACGAAAAACGTCAGTCAGCATTTGACTCAATGATAAATTGCATTTGCTTACCAATCAACGTACAAAATGATGAATTTAAACGAGACTGCTGAAATTCTTCTTTCATTAACTTGTTCATCAATAATGTACATGTACCTCGTTTAAGAAATTACTCAAATGCAGATCAACCGTGATATATACACTCCGTGTGCTGGTGATCAAGGTATATTGCTGAATATGTAAGGAAAGCTGACAATAGAAAAGTAAAAGACATGCAAAAGAAACACGACATGAGATCGGAAAAGATAAATTTTTGGGTTGAAAAATAAAAATTCTTGAAAAAAAAGGTTAGTAAATGAGCATCTGTAACACCGGTACCCCGTTAGAAATTGAAAGTGAATAAACAAATATTTCGGGAAAAAATAACACAGAAAGTATCAAGAGGAAAAGTCAAAAAGTACACAAATTGGCCTGATTTCAAAATAGGACAGTTTTGCCCCTGGATATATCTACAGACTATATATTTTTTCAGAACAACTTTCTTTTTTCAATATCTCTTTCATATTTTCTGTAAGAGGTCTTCAAAATAGCATATGTATATGGCCGAATTTCGTACATTTTACGGAACGTCATAATGACGTTGTGAATTTTAACACTTCTGAGTTCTCATAAATAAAGTGGTAAATATTTATTAATTGATGAGAATTTGACAAAAAAGTGTTTTACAATATATTCAAATAGTACTTTAATATTTTGTCAATAAAAGATAACTTAATTTGAAATAATAACGTCAGGTATTAACAAGCTTAGGTACATGTACAAGTGAAAATGACAGCGTGTCAGTTTGGCGCCTGTGTGTTTATCGCAGCACACGTAAATAATTAGATACAATGTAACGTTTCATTATGGACATTGATAATGTTTTAAAATGATAAGTTTATTGATAATTTACACAAACTTTATGCATTTGATATCTTAATCAACCTGTGTATAGCCAAATCGAGGAACGTGGCAACCGGGGGGGGGGGTAAATGTTAAAATAGAAATAGGTACCACATATAACGTAGAGAACAAGTGCTGCGTTTAATGTTTATTCCTCATATATACATGCACGAGGGGTATTAGAAAAGTTTGTGGACAGGTTCTTTTGTAAGCGCGCTATTTCCACGAAACCGGTCAAACTTTCCAGATAAAATCTTAACCTTTTTTCCAATTGATATACAAGAATTTGGTGCTCTCCGGTGATTATTGAAAAATATACAGCTTTTTTATTTTGATAAAACTTGCTTCATGGAGCATGCCACATTTTGTCAAGTTTACAAAGACTCTTTATTAAAATTAAAAATTGAACAATTGTAGCGCAAAGACATGTATGATATTTTACCTGCCGCTAAAGCATGCAGGAAACGTCACGTGGAGAAATTCTGAACTAAATTGGAGGGTATATGACTGTTTTATAGCCGTTTATAAATGATCAATGCGTAAAAACACAGCCAAAAATCGGAACGTCATTGAGCGTCATGGAGCACTGCACTAAGTAAAAATGTGTGCAGACAGGAAAATGTCTAAAAAGAGATTAAAATGTTCAAGATGCTGTCGAAAATTTCCTACATATGCAAAGAAGAAGTTTTCAAATGGTTGTAGCTTCATAAGAATGGAAGGAGTACATTCTGAATGATTAACTTCATCGATACTTCAATACCCCCCTTATCGCATGGACGTTGCGTTGCGCCTATATGGTTTTGCATAGTTTCCATACCTGATTAACTGCATAAACTTTTTTTTTTATTTTATAAGATTTCAATTATATCCGAATCAATACAAAATATATTATAGTAGAAAGGTAATATGTCTTGATATAGATATTCAATTTTAAAGTAGAAACCAGAAGTCTCTGTCGAGACTGTAGCTCTACTGGTTTGAACTTATAACAAAGGATGAGAAAAGAAGCCATTGCCATCAGACCACAACTGTAGAAGGAGTAGCTTTTTAAAGGTATTTCACATTTCTATTTTTAGTAACAATGGCAACACTGTTCATCAAAATCAAAAACCGATGCACTATTTTATATATCTTAATGTAGTCTACTTATGTGCCAAGTTATATTGAAATCAGTCCAAAACTGAAAGAGGAGTTGCTTTTTAAAGGAATTTCACAGAAAATTTTTTTTAGTAACCATGGAAACACCGTTCATTTAAATCGAAACCTGATGCACTATTCTATGTATCTTAATGCATTCCACTTGTGTGCCAAGTCATATTGAAATCAGACCAAAATTGTAGGAGGAGTAGAGTTTGAAAGGAATTTCACAGAAAATTCTATTTTTAGTAGCCATGGCAACACTGTTCATCGAAATGAAAAAACAATGCATTATTTAATGTATCTTTCTGTAGTCTACTTGTGTGCCAAGTTATATTGAAATTAGATCATAACTGTAGGAAGAGTAGCATTTTAAAGGAATTTCACAGAAAATTCTATTCTAAGTAACCAAGGCAACACCGTTCATCGAAATCAAAATCGGATGCACTATTTTATTTTTCTTTGTGTAGTCTACTTGTGTGCCGAGTAATATTAAAATCAGACCAAAACTGTAGGAGGAGTAGCGTTTTGAAAAATTGTTTACAGACAGACGGACAGACAGACAGACAGAAGGACGGACGACGGACACCTTACTATCGCATAAGCTCTTCTGGTCTCTGACCAGTAGAGCTAAAAAGATAAGAAAAATCTGAGGAAATGAAAGATATAGAATTGCGACAAACCTTAACGGGTTGAAATCTGGTTGTCACGTCGCTTACGTCAAGTGATTGCTCCGTGAATCCCATGACCCCATAGTAAAAATAGTTGTAAAATTTCAAGATTTTATCATATGGACTTGATTTTTTACATACCAATGTGCATTTTCGAGCAATACCTATAATTCGTTGAACGAATACTTCCGAGAGCAGCATTAGCAAACTTCTAATGCAAGAACGCTGCGTAATCAGAGTCAGATCCAGGGCCGGTGCCTCGGGTGTGTGTACCCCTCCCCCCTTTTCGAATGTTTTTTAAAGCAAGATTTTCTATACTAAAACACATTATTAAAATCAGGTTTCCTTATTATGTGTTGAAGAGGGTGTGTGTGTTCGTGAATTTAACCCTAGGGCAGGGTGCCCTGATTTTTTTTTAACTTGAATTATTCATGAATTATTCATTACATCGCGATCTATCGAAATATCACAATTTTATTTAGGGACAGGCCTGCCCTGAAAGACTTCTAGGACAAAATTATTTTCTAAATGTCACTTTTTTTCGGGAAATTGTTCTCTTCTATAAGTCATTTTTTTTTGTCAAAGTAAATACATCCTATGATGAGCGATGTCGGAAACTAGTTTTTTACCACTCTTTTATAACAAATGTCATAATTATTTATACATTAAACACAGAATAGAAACAATTCCTCCTTTTTGAGATTATTCTGATAATAAAATGATAAATTCATTATTTACGTAAAGGTGGGCTAAATATTACAGTATTCCTATTACATATTATGTTGGTTTTTTTAACAGGAAGCTTGTTTTGTTTGTCACTAATAGACATCCCCAACCAGTGGCGTATATTCCATGTAGGCAAAAAGGCTGTAGCCTACACATCATTTTCTCGAGAATAAAAAAATAGATTGAATAAAGGGGCGGGGATTTGATAATAAATCGTACCTATTAATTTATTTTGTTGGAAATGAAAAAAAAATCTTAGCAATCCGCACTTTTATATACCTATCCGATATGTTTACAGTTTCGCTTTGTTTTTAAGGACAAAACTATTGGCCTTAGCTTGACATTTTTTAAGGCAAAGCTCAAGTGTTATTTATATCAAGTCCGTATCAGAAAATTTGATCAAAAACAACAGGATCCCATAATATGTGCAGGAAACAAAAATGATAACGCATTTATTTATATTTGTTAGTAGGAAATTCAACATTTTGGTCGAATTTTGATTATTCAGTAAGGAAATTTCCTTATTTTCTAAGCAGATATCGAGTAAAAGGATATTAAGTTTTCACTTTTCAGTTTTGTTATGTGGTCTTCACATCATGATATAAACTGTAATATATGTACAATATAATTTTCACTGGTCAAATTAAAACTGTAAATGTCTGAGTTTGAAAATATGCCCCCTTTGAAAATCTCTCATACCTATCGAAAGGAAACCCCTTGTCTACCCATGCTTTGCACCTCAGGTTAAATGTGTAACCTAATTTGAACACACAAGCCCGCACATTATCAGAAAGTAATGTACGCCACTGCCAACCCAAAAGCATACACATGGAAAACGAGGCCACAGACTTGGGCTGATATATTTAAAAATCACGATTTGATGAATATATTAGGCCATTTACTAAAAAATATTTTTAAAAAAGCATAATCTACATATTGAAATATAAGTGCCCCCTCCTTCACTCTCGCGCGCGCTCTCTGAAACATTCTGTCTACCTTTTGATATTCAGACTAAATGAAAAATATCAATGTTCGAGTAAAATATAAACATAAAAAGATTCAGTTAACATATACATCTGACCTGTATTTAGCTATGTAATTGTAGACTTTTACAAGTTAATCGCTCGCGATCTACCCGATGCGTGATAATGATTATGTAACACACAGTCTCACAGTTTATATTGAATACATCTAAGTCTATGTACTAACTTTAAATAGTAATAATGTTATTTATTTAGATTTTAAACATTTTTTATAATATCTAGAGTTATTGATCTCAATCATCACGAGTACGAAAAATATTGAAGTTCCCTAAAAAGTTTGACGTCATTTTCTGCACATTGTGACGTCACGAGAAAAAAAAAATGACGACTTGTCAAATGTTGAAACAAAAAAACCAAAACAAATAGACCTATTCTCGTTATAACCTGGCTACTTTGGGGGGCTTCTGTTAAACAATGGTCCAGAACAGACATGCAGATATGGAAAGCATAGACTAACGCGAATACATTTCTATTTTTTTAATGTTTTTATTTGAATTAAGAACTGAGGTTATAAAATCTGTTTAGCCTACGCTATTTACCATGCATAAATAATGTACTAGTATTTATGCTAAAATGGGTTTATAGTCGTGTTTATATAATTTACAGTAATTTTTCTTATGAAAGATTTAATTCTTGCAATGTAAGGTATTAATAACATGAATTTATAGAATGTAAATTTGCTTCTGCATGCGCCAACTGACCAAACGACATTCATAAATATTAATTTTAAACATGGGGCGCATTCCTCTCGGAGAAAAAAACTTAATCAAATATACGCGTAAGATACCAATAATTGATTTTATACTTGATTTTTTTCCGAGAGGAATGCGCCCCACTTGGAATTTTAAAATGAATCTGTAAAATTGGTGAAAAATTCCGGAAAAATCAAAACCATTATAGGTTTTAGCAGTTACGATTAAAAAGCCAACATCCGGTTTGGCTAAAACTACCCACCCCTGCATTGACAAAGTCGATTACATACGGAAACCACAAATAGTTTTCAAGAAAACGATGATTTATTTTTTAAGAGATTCACAGGCCGTATATTGTACTTTCTGACTTTTGTTCTTACTTACTCTCTTTAAGCTCGTCAAATCTGTTATCAGTTATTAACAATGCATTCCAGTTTAAATGTTCATTCTAACTTAAAATAAGTTACATGAAGGATTTTGCATGTATAATTTTACACCTGAAGGATGCCGATATAGCGTAAAGTATTTTAAAAACCCTGCGCATTAGACATAAAAGAGAAGACATCTGCTTACAACATTTCCGTACAAAATTTGGTCGCCCGCTTGATGCAGTAGTTAGATTTATTTGTTATTTAAAATCCCTCTCGAGAAGTCTTCACTCAGTTGGACAAGCAACCACCTGCCGGTGAAGAGCTGCATTTTTTTTTCTAATACTTAGCACCAACGGCCATTGATAAATATTATTTTTCGTGCCAATACCATTACATACTGCGACATGGGGCCTAGGTTTATATGGTGTCATCCAAAGTATCGGACTCCACGTTTTGAACCCGTATGCGTGGCGTTAAAGATCAACTCCTTTCTTTGCAAATCTAGAGCAATAAGCGCTAACAACTGCGCCAAGCTGTCAACTGTACGTAGCAGTAAGAGTGTCTGCTCTAGAGCCGCGGAGTAGGGTTCGAGTACACTGCAGGACGTTGAGTTCAGTATTTAAATGAGACGCACTGCGTTTGCACGAAAAAGGGACTGATGAGTGGCAATTAATACCAAGTAAAGATATAACTGTACCAGTAAGTGGTGGCGTCTAAATGGCAAACAAATAAACAAGCATTAAAATATATCGTTGAACAAGGTTTCTGGTAAAATCAAGTAAACTGATTGATTGTTTGATTGATTGTATATTGTTTAACGTCCCTTTCGAGAACTAAGTGAACTGAACAAAACTTAAATACTTTCATCCTTTTCTACTGTTAATTCTGTTCAAATTTGGGATGTTTTAAGATCATAAAAAATAATAGCTATGTAATTATATAAATTATATGAAAAACAAGATGACTTTCATGTTCAACTTTCCTTAATATGTCCCGATGATGAAACTGGAGATTTCAATAGTTTTCCTTTTACCTTGTCAGTCTTTCCGTCTGTCTGTCCCACATTGTTTTCCATAATTGTTTTAAATATCTGCATATATTGAGCTTATATTTTGGTATGGGAATGTATCTTGATGAGTTACAGATCATAACGTTCTGCTTTGATGATTTTTGGTGGACTTTTGGCCTTTTCATTTTTCAAAATAAGTTTTTTTAAACGCTTTTAGATATTAATTACATTGTAAACAGGGAAATTTTAGCCCTTGTTACAAGTGGCCGAATTTAAAACGGAGCGAATTCAAAGAATACATAATTTCTTTAACAAAACTGTGATTGTTCGAATTTAAATCGGGGAAAAATAGTTGTAGATAGCAAGAGTAAAAGGGCGCAAACAATAACCCTGTATACAGTATACCGGTATATATTAATATATGAGTTTACTTTAAGGAGTAATTGCTCAAGTTTAATAATTCTTTGACGGAATATTGCCATTTTTTAATGGATAATATATTATAGATATAATTAGAAATTAGTATTGCTAGCTCACAGGTCATTCATTCCAATATCACCATCATGTGGTCTTTACACATCCTTAAGTAGCCTTCTTGTAAGGTTTTATGGTCAATACAGTGATCATGTCAATAAATAAAATCTATCAATAAGTCATGCTGACCCACGTTTTCAAACAAATTGTGAAGTCACAATTTACACACTGAATTTTTCATGGAATATTCCGTTTTATTCCGATCTGAATGGAAGGAAGCGGTCGGTGTTACTAGTCGGCATCGGAGGCTCACTCCTCCATGACACCCGATCATCCTTCTGAATTTGCTCTACTTCTTTTCTGTATTTTTAATTGGACTTTGGATTTAATTTTCATACTTCTTTAGAACTTATTGCTTTTAAGCATTACTCTTTGATAAATAGAAAAGGCTTCCTAAGAAATACTAAATTATTTATGATATGAATTTTTGAAGAACAATTCAATTTTAAAAAGTGATCTTTATTTTGTATTAACTATCCTTCAGACAAAATTGATATAAACTATTTATTATGTGATTTTGTTTTACTATTTTTTCAATCAGGTTATGACAGGAGTATTTAAATTTCACTTGCATATTCACAAGAATTACAAAGTCTGTGGTCACTACCTATTCTTTTGCTGTTATTCATAAAAGTTTTCCATTGATATTTTCTTTAAAAAATGTTTCTTGGAAAAATTATTTTAAATACAGCAAAATGCACTGTAAAATATAGAAAACACTCCTTAATTTTCATTGCACTATACGTTAGAAGCAGAAAAAACATATACATTAACGTTGTATTTTGCAAATACTTGCAACACAGGACTCCTTGCTATGATATTATTTTTGCAAGTTTTCCGTAGAAATTTAGGTATTATGTAGATGTAGATGTCTATTGATTGTTAACAATATAAAGAAAAATTGTGAAAAAAAGGAATTAAGAGTTTCTTTTTTTTTTTGGCAAACACATATTTGTATATCAAAATGTGTTAGTAAAAAATTAAAAGCATGAATTTATGTTCTTAATTTGAGGTTGAAAAATACAATCACAAATGACTTTCGATAATATGATTCTTCAAAGGTGTATCAAGGAAAATGGAGAGTTTAATAGGGCGATTTAATATAGATTTTCAATCACAGTATTTAAAAAAAATGAACATGATCTTCAATTTAACGATTACACCAAATTTCACTGGACTTTGCTTCAACCAACAGCAATTTCATCTGCAAATAAAAATACATATATAGCATTTGTATGCACAGTATTACATATGGTTCTTTCATAATAGGACCCTGAGTTAAGGTAAATTTATACTTGGACAAGGCTGGACGTTACATGTCTCTGTCTGGAAGGACTGACCAGGACATGGAAGGCCTCCATGTGATGGTGGTGGATCATTGCATGACCGCATTCTCATGTGGAACCCACCACCACAAGTCGTGTCACAGTGGCGGAAGTCACCCCATTGACCCCAATTCCCGTCAACTATGTTAACAGTTAACATGACATTTATAACTACATAATGGCAAAAGAAATTAAACAAAATTAGTTATTTATTTTACAGCTGAAATAAATCGTTAAAAGAATTAGCCCGCCACATTTGTTCGAACTCTCGTTATACTTCGCAGGTCCCTATAAACAGAACCGGTCACTGAAATATCTTCGGTGTACATGGACATATACTATACAATATTCAGTAGCGAAAAAATAACTTTCTACTTTTTCCATTTCAGCATAGTGAGAGGCCATAGACACAAATCAGTGCAGTAAACAAACACAGATATGCATAACAGCAATTAAATGTAATCAAAGGTAATGCAAAATAACAAGCAAGAACGCCGGTCGCCTTTCCACGCCGATGCCCGTGAAATAGCAATCAGTTGTATCGAATGCGAATATAACATGGTGTTGATGTATCGTAGATAATTATATCGAAAAAGGGCGTATGCTAATTTACGAGTCCTGTTCAGCTTTAAATATCAATATTTAAAAAAGGAACTTTAGCAATTTTCTTTTTTATATGCATGGTAATTCCTATTATATATTATAAAAAGTGCAATTAAAGAATAATTTGCACGCCTAACTTGAAATAAAAAGTAGTAACCTTGACAAGGAGTGAGTTTACACAGTCTGCCATCAGTGGAATTTCCCAAACAAGGTTTACCACCATAACTAGGAGGTGGTTTGCTACACGTTCGGGTTCTGACCTGTACACCTTGTCCACAACTTCCGGTGCATTGATGGCTGTAGTTTGACCATGTAGACCATCCACCATCAACTGACATAAATAGATAAAGAATAACATAAAAATATGTGTTTCTTTACGCAAGTGCTTGCACAGCTAAGTTAATGACTCCAAGAGGTATAATTTTATATCAGTCGATGCAGAGCTTCGGGAAATCGATTATCACGTCACAGTGAAACTGTAGAAATGAATCACGGAGAATAAATAATAATTTTCTTTTTCATACACTCTTACATACTGTTATTTCTCATGAAAATTGAAAACGTAAATTAATGTGTAACTTATCAGGTCAATATCACACTATTTGATCTGACCAAAATTGAATCAATCTAATGTGCATTACTCACTGTTTCATAGTCTTATTTTGAAAATGTTCGGAAACGAAAGTGTAAAAGACTGACAGAAATACAGACAGGTCGAAATTGATATCCCCATTTACAGCGAAAACGGGGAGCCATAAAATTTTAGTTTTAATTCATTCTATCGCTTATAGACGAAAGCTTTCTTATTAATATAATATCTGAGTACCGTACCTGGACAGTGAACAGCATTGCATCCTGATATTTCTACAGAATCACCAACACAGGGGAGACCGCCTATAGCGGGGGCTGGATTGTTACACTGCCTGAATCTCAGGGTCCAACCGCCTCCACATGATTTGTCACATGAACTGAAAGTTCCCCAAGAACTCCAAGATCCATTTACTAAACAGAGAACTTCATCATTATAAACATATACACTCATGTACTTGTAACATTATCTTGTTTGGAGGGCTACAGTAGTAAATACTGTCGTTGACGACGCTCTGCGCGTGCGCTTGCTGTACACACACAGAGTTATGGTAAGCTGAGTCTTTGATGTGTAAAACTGTTTTTAAAATCAATTTCAAGCTTCATCTGGATTTATACAAATGTCCCTGTGGCTATGAAATTTATTATTAATTTCGAAAGAGGCAACCTTGCTCATCCTAACTGCATGTGGTTTGTTTAATACCCGGGAGCAGATGGAAAGATATTCAAAAAATTAATGCATTCCCCCTATATAACCTATATGCACTGCATATAACACCGGAACCCCCTGATCATGGCGCCATAAGTTCACAATTTAGAAGAGACACTCTTCTTCATCATTACTGTTTATTCTGTTTGTTTGTGTAATATCTAGAAGCAGAGAAAAATATTTCTCTATTATCTATATAGCTCCGCCCTAGGACTAGAACATCGGACCCTGAGACCATGAAATTCACAATTTGGGTAAAAGATTCATTGCTTATTTTAGTCATACCACACTCTAAAAAAAGTTTTACTTGTTGCTTTTAAAATAAGATATTAGATTAAGAAAAACTAGTAATTATTAGTAATTCATTTAGTCAGAATAGCAAGTAAATGACTATCATTGTTAGTTATTGTAAACATAATTAGTAATAAGGATGAATTCACTTATAAAATGATTTACTAAGTATCAATACTTAATAGGAATTATATTACTTAGTAAATGAAGTACTCAATTTTAGAAAATCATCATTATTACTTAATTTAGGGATAATATGCTTTCTATTTACTAGGTTTTATGAATTATTTTATTTCAGAATTTCATTTACTTAGTAATTTACTAAGTAAATGTAATTTTGAAATTAATCAAAATCTGGAATAGTATTGCTTAGGAGAATACTAAGTAAATGGAATACTTATCATATTTACTAAAATCGACATTATTTCTTTCTAATTGTTTTATTATATTCAGCAATAAAACATTTAATTCCAACATCAAAAGCCTTCTAAATTGAATAATTTGTATATTTTTAAGGACCATTTTAAAAAAGGTTTAAAGTTTCAAGTACTTAATAACACATTTTAATAAGTATAACTTTTTTTTATACATGAAGGAATATTTAGAAGAAAGATAACTCCTCCTCACAGACAGTTAATATGACAATTTAGGAATTCAATCCTGATAGTAATTAAACTACCATTTTTAAGTAATTATTTGTATTGAAACTGCTCTGAATTCTCCTTGATTCAGTAAATAAATTATCGTTTAAAGTAAATCAATTGAATACAATTTAAACGAAATGTGTTTGTGAAACACTTATTAATGCCCCCCCCCCCCCCATATGACAACATAGCAAAGGTTTAACTTTTCTTATATGCAAATTCATTATATTGGTATTTCTTGATATCTCAAAGGTCAAGGTCAAATGGTCAATGTTATTTGTATCTAATGAAAGGTCCTGCCACAAAAAATACATATCTGAAATATGAAAGCACTAGCCCCAACCCTTCAGAAGTTATGGTCAAGTTTACCAACTTTGAAATGTAGATCAAAGTCAAAGGTCAAGGACAAAGGGTCAGATTTGATGGTACCTAAAGAAAGGTCTTGTCACACGGATGAAATATGTAAAGTATGAATGCACTAACCCCAACCTTTGTAAAGTTGAGTCAAGGTTTTCTTTTTAAAAGTGGGTCAAACTCCAAGGTCAATGTCAAAGGGTCAAAGTTCTTGGTATCTAATGAATGATCTTCCCACAGGAATTACATATATGTAAATATGAAAGCCCTATCCCTTATCGTTCAAAAGTAATGGCCAAGGTTAAAGTTTTTTCACAAGGATTGAAATCTCCTAGGTCAAGATCAAATGGTCATGGTTCTTGGTATCCAATGAAAGGTCTTTCAACAAAGAGTATCTATGTGAAGTATTAATGTCCTGGTATTAACTGTTAAAAAGATATGGCTAAAGAAAAAAGTTTGGATTTGTAGAAGTGGGTCAAACTCCAAGGTCAAGGTCAAATTTGGCGATACTCAAAGATAGGTCTTGTCAAATGGAAAGGACATGTGAAATATGCAAGTCATAGCTCCGCTAAATCAAAAGTTAGGGGCAAGGTTAAAGTTTTTGCGGACAAACAGAGAAACAGACAGACAGAGAGACAGACAGATGGACAAGACAAAAACTATATACCCCCGAAACTTCGTTTACGGGGGCAAAATGATATAAGTTAAATATAGGAATCAAAATAAAATTCTGATATCTTTATTCTTTTTTTATTATAGTATATATATATAGTGATTAGACTACCAGATTTAAGTAATTTGTTCTGCAGCTGCTCTGAATCCTCCTTGATGCAGTAAATAATTTATTGTTTTAAGCAAAACAATTAGATATAGCAATTTGAAAATATTTTAGTAATAGCTAGTAATTAGTGGTAAACTGTAAGTAAAAACCAAGTAATGTGTTATCACTTACATACACAAAGGATGACTGCACTTAAGGAAACTTAGAAATTGCGACATAATTAATTTTTAAAATGGGCATTTCTCTTTCAATGGTAGAAATGGTCAATGTCTTAACTGCAACTTTGTGTAATTACGTTAATTAAAAGTTCGTATTAACGAAGTTCGAAGTCGTTTTTATAGGGAGGTGTCATCGCACATTCTGGAATCTCCATAGGATAATGAGTACGCCCATCTTTTTACAGGCTTAATACATAGTCAGCGCATGTTTGTCTATTGATCTCCTTTTTACGGTAGTTGTATATTTATATATATTACCTCATATTAAAAGAAGATCAATAGACAAACATGCGCTGATGGTTAAAAAGAGAAAAAACTGTTTCTTCTGTGTTCACTTTCTCTATAGCATACTGGCCATTTTGACCACGTTGTTACCTGTTGAATATTATAATTAACCACGTGATCTCAATACCCAGGTAACTCTATGCATACTAAAATTCCATCACGTGACGTGTAAGGAAACACGCATTCTGCTTGCCGATAGTGATTGTTCATATCTGTTTCAATCCATTCCCATGGAGCCACGGGATACTCTTTTTTCTCTTAGATATCTATAAGATTATTCTTATATTTATCTCATAAGCGTTTCATTTTACTATCCTTATATATTTTTGAATGCATGTCTCTACATGTTCGTAGTCTACAAGAAAAAAGAGATTTATTTTTATTATGTTTTGAATCATTGCTTAAAATGAACATCCAAAGTAAGATCCAGTAAATAAAATTGAAATCAAACCATCCTCAGCACGCTAATTTATTGGGAAAAGTAATTATAAAAGAAACTAAAAAAAACTTGAGTAATTGTGATGTTTTTCTTTCTTTTTTATAAAAAGGGAAAAAAGAAAGTCAGTCTTACTGTTGTTATCGGGGTCTCGATCCCGGACATAAATATTATCGATTCTGTGCATTACCGACTGAGCTAGTCGGCACTTTTATTCAAACACGCGAATTGTTGATATCAGCCATTGCTGTTGATTATCAATGAGACTGGCTACTTCTACCGGTCGATGTTATTTGTTATTAGTTATATATACTTTATTTGAAAACTTAAAAAATAATAGTGACAAACATATGACGAAAGAGAGAGAGAGAAAGAGAATGCACCAAATATAAATACAGTAGCTATTCTAATTTTAGACCACTAGCGTATCACAATATTAGCTCCACCTCTTATGCATATTTATAAATCTTATCTTCAATCAAGAGCAGATAAGTCTAATTTCCCAATATTTGCAGAGAGGTGGGGTAAGGAAACAACGAATTATTTCATTGCAACGCAGTTTATAACATTTATGACATTGCATTTCATTTGGAAATAGACCTAACTCTATAATAAATGACTTGAAACAAAAATAAAAACAAAAATAAATGTAACAACAGAGATCGAAAAAGACCCAAAAACCGGCGTTAAGTGCAGTCATCCTTTAAGTAAATATAAATTACGTACTAAGTAAAACTTTTTTAAGAGTGCAAGTTATCTGCTTGCTGTAAGGGATGAAGAAAAAGACTTTTAAAGTTTGCATGGATTTTTTGGCTCCAACCCTCAAGCCCCAGGGTGGCAGGGACAATAAAATTCACATGTTTTTGTTCTCCTTTACCCATACATGCTTTATGCAAAAATTGCTTGAAATTGTTTGAGCGGTTGCAGAGAAGCTGAAAATATTGAAATGTTTTACAATCCTTTTTGCATATACTTCAACACAGACATCTGAAATTTCAACTAGTGTGAACCAATGAGAAGGGAAAAGTCTTTTCTAAGAGTTTTTTTTAACAGTAGTGAAATAAGTAAAGAATACAAATGATGATCGTATAGTGGTTAAGAGCAAAGAATCTATCGTAAAATGGCTCGTGATCGTATAATGTCTGACGATCCCTCCTAGAACGTAGTTTTGAAGAGCCCCGCTCTGAGAAGTGCGGCCCAGATGAGAGCGAGAGAGTGAGCCCTTAGTAAAGTTAGACTGTCATTTTATAATGTACAGTACATGATACTTATTTACATATGAAAAAACAAATCAGATTCAAGTAAACAAGTTATACAATAAATTTGGTCAAAACCCTAGAACTTTAATAAAATAAATTATAATTAGACATAAGCTTCAGTTCAGTGTCCTTGTATTGTGCAAAAGTTAACATAATGTTAAAGTAAGTTTTTGCAATGTTCCGTTACTCTTCCTGTATTGATGTCCAAAGATAGATAACATCCTGGTTGATTACAGTGTCCGATTCCAGAGTTTCCGAAAACTATCGGTCCTACCGGCAAAACCGATAGAAAATCGAAATGTCCGATGCGATGAAATTCGCTACGGTACCGGTCCGTGTGACCGATTGTGGTGAGGGCTTGTTCTGATTAATTTATTGTACTCTTATCTATAACAATCTCATCATAAATGAAAATTTTCAATGCAGAAAGCTTCTATTCTTCGTAAATATCCATCACAGGATGAAAAGCCAGGTTTC